AAGCTTAAAGTCCAAAAAAAACAAAAACAAAAAAACCTGGGTGGTTGCAATGGCTCACGCCTGTAATTCAAGCACTTTGGGAGACCACTATGGGGAGGATTGCATGAGGCCAGGAGTTTGAGACCAGCCTGGGCAACATGGGGAGACCCTATCTCTAAAAAAAAAAATACTGGCTGTGGTGGTGCACACCCACAGTCCCAGGTACTTGGGAGGCTGAGGCAGGAACACCTGAGCCCAAAAGTTCAAAGCCGCATCGAGCGCTGATCACCTCCAGGTGTACACTACCACAGCAGGCTTGAAACAGGTTTTAAAAAGAGTTACCGATGTTACGTAAAAGTGTGTGTGTCAGGGGTACCATCTTGAAGCTAGAGACTGTCAAAGCACCATTAGCAACTTGGAATTTGGCCCGTGTGTCAACTTTTCTCCCAGAGTAACTTTTGGCTTATACAGGGTGAAGCTGGGTTAATGGTACAGGCATATTTTATTGCGACAGCTGGGCAGTTAGTGGCCTAAGACTAGGTAGCAATGTAGAGCAGCAAGTTGATGTGACGTAGGGTGGAAAACTCTCCCTGCTTCTGTGAGCTCTTTCTGTGAAGGAGGTATCCCTCGCTGAGTTCATTTGGCAGAGCTGGTGTTGCAGACAATCCCACAGCCTCCAGGGTGGGCTCTCCCAGAAGACAAAGGAGGAGGTCTGACTCCCAGGCCCACCCATAAACGCACACACAAGCAACCCACTGTAAATCGAGGAACTTCCTGGAAGCCTTGCTCTCTCATCTTACATTTACAGTAAGGCCCTTGGGACTGACTAAGCAAAGCAGAATTTCCAAATGAATGAAAACTTAATGGACTTCCTTCATTTCCCATGTGGCTGCCAGTACTTGGACAGTGATGAGGCCAGTCACTATTACTCTCAACTGGTTAAAAAAGAAAACAGGCCCAGGGCGGTGGCTCATGCCTGTAATCCCCGCACTTTGGGAGACGGAGACGAGTGAATCACAAGGTCAGGAGTTCGGGACCAGCCTGACCAACATGATGAAACCCTGTCTCTATTAAAAATACAAAAATCAGCCAGGTATGGTGGTGCATGCCTGTGATCCCAGCTACTCAGGAGGTTGAGGTAGGAGAATTGCTTGAACCCGGGAGGCGGAGGGTTACAGTGAGCTGAGATCGCGCCACTGCACTCCAGCCTGGGCGACAGAGCAAGACTCCGTCTCAAACAAACAAAAAAATGGGAAGCAACTCTCCTTCCTGCCCCAGTGTCCAAGGAAGGAGACCTCTTGGGCTGACAAAACGTGGGTCCACCCATAGAGTGCTAAGACCTGAGGCTTTGTGTGAGCTCGGCGCAAGGCCGGCTCTCTCTTGCAAGCCCTGGCAACACTTCAAGGCCTTTACTCAAACACCTGCCAGGTGCCTCGTATATGCCAGGCACTGTGCTAGGAGCGAGGGGCGTCTACTAGGAGAGCCTAAGTCCTGACTCTGCAAGAGGGCAGGGAATAGCCTGAGATGCACACGCGAAACTCTTCCATATCAAAAGGTAGCTCAGTTGGCTGCCACGGCAGTAGCCACAGATGGAGTACTGAACCAGCTGTGTTACCTGATGGGCCCCGTGTTTGGACTTCCTTATTGCTCACTTCCATGGAACATTGTAGAACGATGGAGGGCCGGGGTCCTGGGTCTGTCCTCAGCTCACATTGAATGTGTGGCCATGAGTAAAACCCCTCAGCCTCCAGGAGTCATGGGTTCCTTAACTATAAAAAGAGGGTAGAAATAATATCTCGGGCCCATACCAAATAGTAGGTGGAAAGATTTCTGGGAAACTTCAGGCCCTGTGCACCTAGGCAGGTCTAGGTCCCTCACTTGAGTGGAGCCTGTCACTTATGTGTCTGGTCCTGGGACAAGTGCTTTTCATAACATTTTCCACAAAGACAAATACAGAGGGCGGTCAGGTTTGGGAGCCTCACTACTAGGGTTTTAAATATCTCTCTTCTTATTTTTTATTTTTATGTGTGTGTGTGTGTGTGTGGTTTTTTTGTTTTTTTGAGACAATGTCTCACTCTGTTGCCCAGGCTGAAGTGCAGTGGCATGATCAGGGCTCACTGCAACCTCCACCTCCTGGGCTTAAGTGATTCTCCCACCTCAGCCTCCCAAGTAGCTGGGATTATAGACATGCACCACCAGGCTCAGCTAATTTTTAACTTTCTTTTAGAGATGAGGTCTCACTATATTGCCCAGGGTGGTCGCAAATGCCTAAGCTCAAGTAATTCTCCCGATTCAGCCTCAAAAAGTGCTGGGATTACAGGCGTGAGCCGCCACGCCTACCCCTACATACCTCCCTTCTTGCCCCTCTTGTAACGCTCACTTGCTCTCTGAGGAAGTAAGTGGCCAGGCATGGTTACTCAAGCCTGTAATCCCAGCACTTTGGAAGGCCGAATCCACGCTTGCTTCCTCAGACAGCAAGCCCGATGAGTGCAGATCCTCATGGCAGGGTTTCTCCTTTCTTAGCAGAGAGCTCAACTTGCACACTGAATGAAAGTAACTTCTTTTTTTTTTTTTTTTTTTCTGAGATAGAGTCTTGCCCTGTCACCAGGCACCAGGCTGGAGTGCAGTGGCATGATCTCGGCTCACTGCAACCTCCGCCTCCCGGGTTCAAGCAATTCTCCTGCCTCAGCCTCCCAAGTAGCTGGAACTACAGGGGTGTGCCACCACACCCAGCTAACTTTTGTATTTCAGTAGAGACGGGGTTTCACCATGTTGGCCAGGATGGTCTCGATCTCTTGACCTTGTGATCCGCCCGCCTTGGCCTTCCAAAGTGCTGGGATTACAGGTTTGAGTCACCGCGCCTGGCTGCTTCTTGCATTTTTTCCTCAGCCACAAATATGTCTTCCCCAGCACAAAGATGAAAAATTACACTTTTTTTTTGAGACGAAGTTTCACTCTGTCACCCAGACTGCAGTGCAGTGGCATGATCTCAGCTCACTGCAACCTCTGCCTCTTGGGTTCAAGCGATGCTCCTGCCTCAGTCTTCCATGTAGCTGGGACTGCAGGTGTACGCCATCATGCCCGGCTAATTTTCTGTATTTTTAGTAGAGACAGGATTTCACCATGTTAGCCAGGATGGTCTCGAACTCCTGACTTTGTGATCTGCCCGCCTCAGCCTCTCAAAGCGCAGGGATTATAGGCAACAGCCACCGCACCCGGCCCACATTTTTAGCTCTTCCAGTGTTTTGTCTTCTTTTAGTGCTCATATTTAGGTGCAACTTAATGTTGTCACAATGTGTGATCTGTTTTCCATTTCTGGGGCATAACGTGCAGCTTAAAAGAAAGGTGTTTGTGGCCAAGCATAGTGGCTCATGTCTGTAATCCCAGAACTTTGGGAGGCCAAGGCAGGTGGATCACAAGGTTCAGACCAGCCTGGCCAAGATGGTGAAACTCCAAATCTACTAAAAATACAAAAATTAGCCAGGTGTTATGGTGCGCGCCTGTAATCCAGCTACTCAGGAGGTTGAGGCAGATAATTGCTTGAACCTGGGAGGCAGAGGTTGCAGTGAGCCAAGATTGTGCCACTGCACTCCAGCCTGGGTGATACAGCGAGACTCCGTCTCAAAAAAAAAAAAGAAAGAAAGAAAGGTGTTTGCAGTTTCTAACCACATGAGCTAACCATGGTCTAACAACATAAGATTTAATACAAGTACAACTTTAAATACTATAAATCATTTCTTCTTAACCATCGAGCCACAACTTACACATCCAAATGAATCTTTTCCTTCCAGAAATATCTCAAGGAAAAAAATTTTTAAGTTGTTTCTAAAATGTTCTGAAGAGGACTCATCCCAGAAGATTATTTTAAAGTTCATCAAGTTGAAGGTACAAATTTAAGTGTGTCTGTTAAAAGCAGCTGCCGGTCAGACGCGGTGGCTCACGCCTGTAACCCCAGCACTTTGGGAGGCCGAGACCGGCAGATCGCTTGAGGTCAGGCCTTTGAGATCAGCTTGGCCAACATGGTGAAACCCCGTCTCTACAAAAAATACAAAAAAATTACCCAGGCATGGTGGTGCATGGCTGTAATCCCAGCTACTCAGGAGGCTGAGGCAAGAGAATCGCTTGAACCCAGGAAGCAGGGGTTGCAGTGAGCTGAGACCGCGCCACTGCACTCCAGCCTGGGTAACAGAGCGAGACTCTGTCTCAAAACAAAACAAACAAACAAACAAAAAACAGCAGTTGCCTTATTTTATTCTTTCATATCATATACATCCCTACCTACTCTTAATACAGTGAGGTGAACACAGCTGGTCCTCAAATAATGTTATTTCATTCAGCCTTGTTTCATTATAATGTCAATAAGAAGAAAAATGGATTCCTGGTTGGGGCCACTGTCTGTCCGGAGTTTGCACATTCTCCCCATGTCTGCGTGGCTTTTCTCTGGGTACTCCAGCTTCCCCCACATCCCAGAGTTGTGAAAGTGAGTGAACTAGCATATCTAGAGGTCCCAGTCTGGTGTAGGTGTGAGTGTGTCCTGTGATGGCATGGCATCCTATCTGGGGCTCGTTCTCCTCTTGGACCCTGAGCTGCCAGGAGATGCTCCAGCCACCTGTGACCCCGAACTGGCATAAGTAATAATTTTACTTGTTTTTATCTTCTTTCCTTCTTTCCCTCCCTTCCTCCCTCCCCTCCTTCCTCCCTTCTCTCTCCCTCTCTCTTTCTTTCTCTTTCTTGTCTTGCTCTGTTGCCCAGGCTGGAATGCAGTGGCACGAACTCGGCTCGCTGCAACCTCGGCTCACTGCAACCTCTGCTTCCCAGGTTCAAGCGATTCTCCTGCCTCAGCCTCCTGAGTAGCTGGGATTACAGGTGCCCACCACCACATCCAGCTAATTCTTGTATTTTTAGTAGAGACGGGGTTTCGCCATGTTAGCCAGGCTGGCCTTGAACCCCTGACCTCAGGTAATCTGCCCTCCTCAGCGTCCCAAAGTGCTGAGATTATAGGGGTGAGCCACTTCGCTGACTTTTATCATCTTTCTTAAATGCATGTATAGCTCACATTTATTTCAATGTTTAAAATTAGAAGTATTTTGGTCTTTTTTTAGACGTTTGGGCCTGGTGCAGTAGCTCACTCTTGTAATCCCAATACTTTGGGAGGCAGAGGAGAGAGGATCACTTGAGGCCAGGAGTTTGAGACCCAGCTGGGCAGCATAGTGAGATCTTATCTCTACAAAAATTTAAATGTTAGCCAGATGTGGTTGTGTGAGCCTGTAGTCCTAGCTACTCTGGAGATTGAAGTGGGAGAATCACTTGGGCCCACGAAGTTGAGGCTACAGTGAGCTGTGATCATGCCACTGCACTCCAGCCTGGGAAACAGAGCAAGACCCTGTCTCAAAAAAAGAAGTTGGGACAGTGCAATCGCTCATGCCTGTAATCCCAGCACTTTGGGAGGCTGAGGTGGGTAGATCATGAGGTCAGGAGTTCAAGACCAGCCTGACCAACATAGTGAAATACCGTCTCTACTAAAAATACAAAAAATTAGCCAGGTATGGTGGTGGGCGCCTGTAATCTCAGCTACTCTGGAGGCTGAGGCAGGAGAATCGCTTGAACCCAGGAGGTGGAGGTTGCAGTGAATCGAAATCATGCCACTGTACTCCAGCCTGGGTGACAATGTGAGACTCCATCTCAAAAAAAAAAAAAAAAAAAAGAAGAAGAAGAAAGAAGAAGTTTGTTACTAGAAATATGCTGTAGCAACTTAATTCTTGTTTATATCAATTAGCCTAGGGTAAAATTGTTTTCATTATTCACCATTTCACTTAAAGTTGCTGTTTCTAAGAACCTATCAACTACATTATGTGAGTACTTCCCATATTCAAAATATTCAACAACAGATACAGGGGGTACACCTGGCAGTCAGAACACACCTAGCCGAAATGTGGTGCCAGGGCATGCTGGTTGAATATCGGACAGAAAAACAGATTAAAGGATTCACATGCCTTGTCTGGGATATTTAAATTCTAGTGCTACACGTGAAGGATGAGTTGTACCTTTGAGGACTCTTAATCTTAGACAATTTGATAATGCCAGATGAACTGTGGCAGAGACAAGACCACTCAGGGAGCAAATAGTTCCTAGCAAGAGTTCCTGCTGTCCATCTGAGAAAAACTAGAGGGCTTAGGATAGTCTCAGTTAGTAAAGATTTATTTAAGGCCGGGAGTGGTGGCTCATGCCTGTAATCCCAGCACTTTGGGAGGCCAAGGCAGGATGATCACCTGAGATCGGGAGTTTGAGACCAGCCTGACCAACATGGAGAAACCCCTGTCTCTACTAAAAATACAAAATGAGCCCGGTGTGTTGCTGCATGCCTGTAATCCCAGCTACTCAGGAGGCTGAGGCAGGAGAATCACTTGGACCTGGGGAGTAGAGGTTGCGGGTGAGCCAAGACTGCACCATTGCACTCCAGCCTGGGCAATAACAGCAAAACTCCATCTCAAAAAAAAAAAAAAAAGAACATGGAATCCTCAAGAGGAGGTCTGTACTTGGCGGATATTTCGCCCCATCACCTATCACCAAACCTGGTGTGTCATATAAATTACAAATACAGATAGATGGAAGCGTGCACGTGTTTATGAGAGAGATGCGAGTGACTATGCTACTTATTTTGTGCAAGTCATTCATTTATGATGGTGAACCCATAGACCTGGCTGACATTTAAAAAAAAAAGTAGCTCATACTTCAAATAAGATTAGATGACCAAAGTTTCTAATATAAAAGGAGACTATCAGCAAAACCTCAGAATTAAGTTCTGTAGTAATGACACCTTGACACTATCAGAGACATATAACCATGACAAACGTGAGGACTCTGGTATTAACTGCATCCCAGAAGCAGCCTCAGCCTTTAGTGTTATTCTAAGAGCCACATGGAGACTATAAAATACCCAATCAAATTTATACCACGACAAAACATACATTCACTTGTTTGGCCATTTTAAAATTTAATCCATATGTCCCTGAGGAATTTATTAACTGTTTGCAACTAGAGAAGACTGCTAGGCATCAAGATGGAGTCTCTCTCTGTTGCCCAGGCTGGAGTACAGTGGTGTGATCTCCGCTCGCTGCAACCTCTGCCTCCCAGGTTCAAGCAATTCTTCTGCCTCAGCCTCCCGAGTGGTTGGGATTACAGGCACCCGCCACCACGCCCGGCTAATTTTTTGTATTTTTAGTAGAGATGGGATTTTGCCATGTTGCCCAGGCTGCTCTTGAACTCCTGGCCTCAGGTGATCTGCCCTCCTCGATCTCCCAAAATGCTTGGATTACAGGCGTGAGCCACCGTTCAGCATCACCTTTACTCCTGTCCTATGCCCTGCAACTATTTATCACTCAGCTTGGTCTTACCTTAATCAGGATCTCCATAAAGATGCATTATATTAAGCAATCTTTCCTTCCTTCTTTCCCTCTTTCTTTCTTCCTTCCTTCCTTCCTTCCTTCCTTTCTTTCTTTCTTCTTTCTCTTTCTTTCTTTCTTTCTCTCCTTCCTTCCTTCCTTCTTTCTTTCTTTTTCTTTCTTTCTTTTTCTCTTTCTTTCTTTCTCTCTCTTTTTTCTTTCTTTCTTTTTCTTTCTTTCTTCCTTCCTTTCTTTCTTTTGCTCTTGTTGCCCAGGCTGGAGTGCAATGGCGTGATCTCAGCTCACCACAACCTCCACCTCCTGGGTTCAAGAGATTCTTCTGCCACAGCCTCCCAAGTAGCTGGGATTACAGGCATGTGCCACCAGGCCTGGCTAATTTTGTGTTTTTAGTAGAGATGGGGTTTCTCCATGTTGGTCAGGCTGGTCTCAACCTCCCGACCTCAGGTAATCCACCCACCTCAGCCTCCCAAAATGCTGGGATTACAAGCGTGAGCTACCATGCCCATCTTAAGCAATTCTTATTATCCAACAGTGTTTTCTCCTATATTGTTTTATGATTTCTTTTTGTACCTTAAAGTCTGCTTTTAAATTTAAGATGCTCTGCTTCCCAAGAATCCAGATTTTTGTACAAATTTAAAAGTGTACACTTAACCTGAAGCCCTTAACTTTAGGATTCTATCTGTCTTGTCTGCCTTTATAGATTGTTATCCTGCAGAATATAGTTTGAATAGGATTCAGATGTATGTATCGGCTGGGGCTAATGGCTATGCGGAATGCGACTCTGGTTAGATGGTGTTAGGTCACTGCTGAGTAGAGGAGAGTCATGTCTACATCTAGCCATGGTCAGATCAAAACTCATCACCCACCTGCTCTTTTTGGCAAAGAGAAAACTTCTCTGCTGCTAGCCATTGCTGCTTTTCTCATCTTCCTTTTAACCATTAGGATACTTTACATACCTAACAACATGTTTTACCAGTTCTTGGCCAAGTGTGGTGGCTCACGCCTGTAATCCCAGCACTTTGGGAGACCGAGGCAAGTGGATTGCTTGAGGCCAGGAGTTTGAGACCAGCTTGGCCAACATGGTGAAACGATAGCTATTGTATTAAGGGAAAGTCCATGTAATTAAAAGGGAAATGTAGACTGAAAACCAGAGTAATATGTATACCTGGGAATATCTCTTGGAAGCTGCCCAAACCAATTTTTTAACCTTGATTCCGTGAATCAAAATACAAAGAGCAGAATGATTGGCATTTAGAAGGCATTGGACAAATATTTGTCCAGTGATTGCACAAATTCTTTTTTTACTTTAAAAATATCTCCATATCAGGCTGGGTGAGGTGGCTCATGCCTGTAATCCCAGCACTTTGGGAGGCTGAGGTGGGTGGATCACCTGAGGTCAGGAGTTCGAGACCAGCCTGGCCAACATGGTGAAACCCCATCTCTACTAAAAAATACAAAAATTAGCTGGGTGTGGTGGTGCATGCCTGTAGTCCCAGTTACTTGGGAGGCTGAGGCAGGAGAATTGCGTGAACCCAGTAGGTAGAGGTTGCAGTGAGCTGAGATCACGCCACTGCACTCCATCCTGGCGCCTGGCAACAGGACAAGACTCTGTCTCAAAACAAAACAAAACAAAACAAAACAAAAACGCTCCACATCTATTAATTAATTTATTTGCACTAAGGGAGGCATTTTCCTCCTCCCCCTCCTCCCCTACTTCTTCTCCTCCCCTCCTCCCCCTCTTCCCCCTCCTCACCCTCTTCTTTCCTCCCTTCCTCCCTTTTCTTTCTTTTCCTTCCTTCCTTCTTTCCTTTCTTTTTCTTTCTTTCTTCTTCCTCTTTCTCCTCTTCTTCCCCTTCCCCTCCCCTCCTGCCTCCTCTTCCTCCTCCTCCCTCTTCTTCTTCTTGCTGGAGTTCAGTGGCTCAATCATAGCTCAGTGCAGCCTAGAACTCCTCAGTTCAAGCGATCCTCCTTCCTCAGCCTGCCAAAGTGCTGGCATTATAGACATGAGCCACTGTGCCCAGCCAGCATATCTGCTTCTAAGGGCAAAAACCCTTGTGGACATTAGAAATGTTGTATTCTGTATTAATAATGACCAGTTATTGGCCAAGTGTAGTGGTTCACACCTATAATCCCAGAACTTTGGGAGGCTGAGGCAGGTGGATTGCTTGAGGCCAGGAGTTCGAGATCAGCCTAGGCAACATGGTGAAACCCCGTTTCTACTAAAAAAAATACAAAACTTAGCCAGGTGTGGTGGTGCATGCCTGCAATCCCAACTAGAGTGGCTGAGGCATGAGAATTCCTTGAACCCAGAAGGCAGAGGTTGCAGTGCACTGAGATGGTGCCACTGCACTCCAGCTTGGACAACAGAACAAGACTATGTCTCAAAAAAAAAAAAAATTACCAGATGTTAAAATATTAGAGTCCCACAAGAATGGCTTAAAAGGTATATGAAGTTCTCTTAATTTTCATATATTATCTCTATGCCTGGGCTGTCCAATAGGACCTCCTGCAACGCTAGAAACGTTGCATGTCTGGGCCATCCAGTACGGAGCCACTAGCCGCATGTGACTACTTAGCACTTGAAATGTGACTAGGGCAACTAAGAACTGAGTTTTAAGTTGCATTTAAATTTAAGTAGCCAAATGTGGCTAGTGGCTTCCAATATTGGAAAATATAGCTTATCAAAGGATGAG